AGGAATTAATCAAGAAGCAGAAAAGGAAGGAAAAGTATAAATATATCGATGTATTGTGGGCGGATTCGACCAAGCAGAAAACGGCGAACAGAATCGTCAGAACAAAATTGCTCAGAGTATTTCAAGAAACTAGCCCCTAAACGAATTGATGATAAAATACTCGGTCTATATTCACCGTGAAGAATCTTTGAAGACCCTTCTTAAACTGGATGAGAAAGAATCTTAGAAATTTAGATTACGTAACACAGAAGTAGATGACTATGTTTAAAGCTTTTCACTCGAAAGAAGACAGCGATCGATTGTCGCTGAAGAGGAAGGAGATAAGAAGTTTCGTCAGCATTTAAACTCGCGTCGATGTGGCTATCAAATGACACAGATCGTAGTAATGAAAAGTTAATTATGTCAGCGATAGGTTGCTACTCCCCTACAGTTTTCATTGTCTGCCATGATGGTATGCTAACTGTAAGAAGGGACAGTGTGACGATTCACTTCGCCAATCAGAATTTGTAATTGTGTACGCGGGAAAGATTTTTATTATCGAGTGAGAGGTGTGACGGAGAGTGAGGTGTGGACTCGACATGTGGAAATACTGACAAAGGAGAAGAAAAAGGACAGACTTGAAAGAAATACGGATAGCGAGAAGACGGAATTTAATCAGAAAATAGGAAAAAGTAAAAGGAAAAAGAAAAGAGAGAAAAGAAATTAAAAATATAAGGTAGAGTTGTTGAAGATGGAAAGACAGAAGAAAATGGTAAAGAAAAGAAAGGCAGTATAAAGGATAGAAAGAAAGAAAAGAGGAAATAGAAAAAGAAAAAGGAAAAAGAAAAAGTAAAAGAAAAAAATGGTAGAAAAAGAAAGATCGAAAATAGAAAAATGGTAAAGAAAAGAAGGAGAAAAGGATCATAAAGGGAAAAAAAGAAAAGGGGAAATAGAAAAAGAAAAAAAAAACGAAAGAAAGAAAAAAGTAAAAGAAAATTTTAAAAATGGCAGAAAAAGAAAGACCGCAAATAGAAGAATATGATCGGGGAATAGGAGAAAATAGAAAGTAAAAGAAATATGGTAGAAAAAGAAAGAAAGAAAGAAAGAAAGAAAGGTGAACGAAAATAAAAAAAGGAAGGAAAAAGAAGGAAAAGGAATAAAAATAATGAGAAACAAAATTACTAGGAATAAACAAATATTAGGAAAAGAAAAACGGTAAAAGAAAGAAAACGTAGAAAAAGAAAAGTATTGAAGAAAGAAAGAAAAGAACAATTAAAGCAAAAAACAAAAAAGAGAAAGAAAGAAAGAAAGAAAAAAGAAAGAAAGAAAACAAAAGGGAGAAAATAGAATAGAATCTGAAAATAGAAGGAGAACGAAAAAATAAGAAAAAAAAAAAGAAGGGAAAATTAGGAAGAAGACAGAAAAGAAGAAAAAAGAAAATTAAAGAAATAAAAAAAGAAAAGGAAGTCGGTAAGGGTGAGAAAGAACAAAAGAAAGAATTTCAGAGAGAGAGGAAAGAATGAAGGAAAAAGATAATCAGATATATTATTCTAATTACAGAATAAAGAAGAAGAAGAAGAAGAGGAGGAGGAGGAAGAAGAAGAGGAGGAGGAGGAGGAAGAAGAAGAAGAAGAGGAGGAGAAGGAAGAAGAAGAGGAGGAGGAGGAGGCAGAAAAAGAAGAAGAAGAAGAAGAAGAGGAGAAGGAAGAAGAAGAGGAGGAGAGGAAGAAAAGAAGAAGAAGAAAAGAAGAAGAAGAAGAAGAAGAGGAGGAGAAGGAAGAAGAAGAGGAGGAAGAGGAAGAAAAGAAGAAGAAGAAGAAGAGGAAGAAAGAAGAAGAAGAGAGGAGGAGGAAGAAAAAAGAAGAAGAAGAAAAGAAGAAGAAGAAGAAAGAGAAGGAAGAAGAAGAGGAGGAGGAGGAAGAAAAGAAGAAGAAGAAGAAGAAGAAGAGGAGAAGGAAGAAGAAGAGGAGGAGGAGGAGGAGGAAGAAAAAGAAGAAGAAGAAGAGGAGAAGGAAGAAGAAGAGGAGGAGGAGGAAGAAAAAGAAGAAGAAGAAAAAGAAAGAAGAAGAAGAAGAGGAGGAGAAGGAAGAAGAAGAGGAGGAGGAGGAAGAAAAAGAAGAAGAAGAAGAAGAGGAGGAGAAAGAAGAAGAAGAGGAGGAGGAGGAGGAAGAAAAAGAAGAAGAAGAAGAGAGAAGGAAGAAGAAGAGGAGGAGGAGGAAAAAGAAGAAGAAGAAAAAGAAGAAGAAGAAGAAGAGGAGGAGAAGGAAGAAGAAGAGGAGGAGGAGGAAGAAAAAGAAGAAGAAGAAGAAGGAGAAACAAAATGTGCTAAAATAAACAAACTCAAAAATACAAACACTAATAACTTGAAAAGTAATTAAGAAAGAAAAAAAAACGAAGTAAAAACAAAAATGAAAAGAAAAACCGAGAAAATAAAAATAAAAGAAATTGAATAAAATAAGAGAAATAAATAGATACAAAGAATTAGGAAAAGAACAAAGGTAAGAAAAGACAAATACGTTTGACAATAGAAAATGTGAACAAAATTCAAAAAAAAAGAAGGAAAAGGCATAAAAATAATGAGAAAGAGAATTACTAGGAATAAAAAAAATAGGAAAAGAAAAACAGTAAAAGAAAGAAAACGTAGAAAAAGAAAAGTATTGAAGAAAGAAAGAAAAGAACAATTAAAGCAAAAAACAACAACAACAACAAAGAGACACTTTTTAAATATATTTCCTGCTGATCACAAATCAATGTTTGGAGGAGATTATAAATAAAACACAAGCATCGAACATAGTTTGAAAAGTAATAGTAAAGATTTGATGATTAAATAATAGGAAGGACTTTATTCGCTAAACTGCGATGTATTTTGTTTGTAAACAGTATCAGAGATCTACCCATTCACTTACTTGCATCGATGCATTGACAGACAATACATTTGCAGCGACTGTCAGGAGTTGGAATTGTCAGTCTTTGCTAAGTAAAAACCGCGTTTTGATTGCTTATTTCTGAGCAGGCATGGAATTTCTAGGAAAGCAGAATTAAAAATACAACTGTTTCTCTGTTGGCGCGTGCCCAACTGACCGAGTAAAATAAAAGTCTATATACGAAAGCATATAATGATGTCTATCCACTCGTTGTACGGCCATGGCCGCTAACAGCTTACGGATTGGATGATGGGGTTCTTTTGTCAATTTCTGGAAAGCCGATGGTACGTGTGCTTTAGTCTATCGTCACACATAGGCACTATTTGTAGTGAACGCATCAAGCAGCCTTAATCGTATGACAAGAACCAGTGAACATGATTGGAGACTGCCTGCATCGCATACGATTCGACTAGTCTGATGGTAAGTCACTGCCTGAAAGAGTCGGTGCTCAGAATACGGAATATTATCTGAACTCAATCCACCACGCAATTTCTGTTGAAAGCAAAATAGTATAAGAGTTTGTGTGAAGAGAAGAATTTTCATTTTTATTTATCTTTTGACTTGTTTTTTATCTCATTTATACCGCTTCTTTTATCTCAACACCTAGGTCGCTAATCTACGATCTTTAATTAAGAAGCAATGATAGAAAATAAAGAACTACCCCGCCCCCGAAAGATAAAAGAAACAAATTCAAATCTTGTTGAAGGATCATTTGCTCTCAGCGCAGCTTACGCAACCATCAGAGCGATACGAGACGATGCGCGGAGAAAAAATAACACAAAGGAATAAATATATAAAATAAGACACGTCAGCAATTATTAATGCCATTCGCCATAATTTTTCTTATATTTTTTATTATGTGACATACGCGAATAGTCATATTGTCTAAAGAATGCACCATCTCGATATTGTGCAAGACTAGATCACTAAAACCATAGCATAAACTGATTATAGATCTGAAATTTTCACTGAATAATGTGTGACTGAGTATACCGAAGAAGAAGGAGAGATTTTCGTCATCAGGCTACAGGTTTATTGATATACCTACATATTCGCAACCCAAGTGCATTAATAAAGAAGCCGCTTGTATTCATGCTGTGTATGCCATATGTCCTTGAGGGCATCTATGTATGAGTGGATAAAGGCGTTGGCTAGATCCAGTGACAGGACCCAAAGAGTGTGAGTTCAATACCCGTTAAGGCGGTGGAGAACTTGGAGAGGGGAATTAACAGAAGATAACTGATAACGCCAATCTCCGTCTTCTGTCTTCCTGAAACCTGTTCATTTTTTGTCCTTTTCCTCACTAACGTCTTCTCATTCTCTTGCATCTTAGTGGCATTATCGCCATCTTCTGTCTTCCTGAAACCTGTTCTTTTTTTGTCCTTTTCCTCACTAACGTCTTCTCATTCTCTTGCATCTCAGTGGCATTATCGCCATCTTCTGTTTTCCTGAAACCTTTTCTTTTGTTGTCCTTTTCCTTACTAACGTCTTCTCATTCTCTTTCACTCCCAGTAAGCTCTTGCATCTTAGTGGCATTATCGCCATCTTCTGTTTTCCTGAAACCTTTTCTTTTGTTGTCCTTTTCCTCACTAACGTCTTCACATTCTCCTTCACTCACTGTAAAACCCTGCGTCCTAATGGACTTTTCACATTCCTTGGGGTGAATCAATTAAAAATAATCTTTTATTTACATATGCTTTCCTACTATGAGCAAATATGCGGCATATTTATAAAGCCACCAGTCGGATGTTTTGCCATCTTCATATTAATAATTAATAATTAAATATCGCATATAGATATATCCTTGAAGCCATGGTCGTTGTTATTATTCCGGGATAACTATGAAATACGATGCCTGTTAAGCTTTATAAGGAAAATCCGATCGCGAAATCGCCCGAGTTGTTAACGCGTGACAATCAAAGGCAGCTTTTCTTTCGAATCGAGTCAGTATATGGGAAATATTTCCAGCCATTTCGGGACGATAAAATCTCGTAACTCGACATCATCTATTCCCCCGTGTGGAGCTCTGGCTGACTGATAGGAACGTAACACATAAAGAATGAAAGGAAGCGAAATTTGGTCCCACAAGTCCCTAAGATGAAGTTGATAAGATTCATTCATTATATTGGTTTTGGTCGATTATTGTCCCTGTGTATAGTTAACGACCTTCATGAAATCTATCTATCTCGGGCTGTTCGTATCTATCTATCTATCTATCTATCTATCTATCTATCTATCTATTCCATTCCAGGGTATTCACATCTTTCTACATATTTATATATGTTCATATCTACCTAATATTTTTGAACATATATATATATATATATATATATATATATATATATATATATATATATATATATATATATATATATATATATATATATATGTTTTATATATGTTTTTTGTTGTAATGTGGATTTTAAAAAATATATATATTATGCATTATTTTCCATAATTTTGCTACACGAGTTTCCGGTTTCGCGTCCTTCATCAGGAAAAGCGTGGAGATTTCAACAAATTATTAAAAAATCTTTTTTGTGTGTTAGTGACCCAAATGTCTTCCCTGAATTGGCATATATATATATATATATATATATATATATATATATATATATATATATATGTGTGTGTGTGTGTGTGTGTGTGTGTGTGTGTGTGTGTGTGTGTGTGTGTGTTTTTTCTTCGACTGTGTGCATGACATTATTGTGTCGTTATCGGTGCAGAACGTGAGCTGGGCGTGTCGAGTTCAATTTCAGGTTAACTCTGTTTCGTTCGTTCGTATTCATGCCAATTGAAAATACATGAATCTGTCTTTACCCCAGTTATGGGTTAAATATCTAGGCAGACTGAGTTTTCTTGTTTTGCTGTGTCAACATGTCTAAAAGAAATAAAAATTTAAATTCGAACCCAACCTGCAAAAGAATGGTGTCCCTCTAACATATTCACACTGCACTGTTAATTTGGCTTCGATACATGACGTTCCACTATAACCCTATTGGTTTACGACGATATATATATATATATATATATATATATATATATATATATATATATATAAGAAATATGTTGTAGTGGTTCCAACGAGAGTAAAGTATGTATATTAAAAAAGAAGAGAAGAGGGTGCCTGAAACGTTTTTTTTTGTAATGTGGATTTATTTAGAAAAATATTATGCTTTGTTTTACATAATTTTACTACGACACGTGTTTCTGGTCTCGCGACCGTCTTCAGGTAAAAGTGGAGATTTCTACATATTATTAAAAATGATATTATTAAAAAATAATTAATTTTTCTTCATGTTCAATGTGAGATATTCTCGATATGAGACATTCTCTGTTTTGTGTGTTGGTAATCCGAATTTCTTTCTAGAATTGTCAATGAAGAGTTCTGCGCGAAGGGTCATAAAACAATTAAGGTTGATCCAGCGAGTAGTTATCGACATTTTATCTTTTAATGTTTTAGTGACCCCTATGTGCTCTTGGATCTGTTTCTATTTTGGTGTGTTCCTGTCAGCATGCGTGTATATATGGGGGGGTGTAAAAGTGTACAAATCGTATAACAGTAAAATTGTCTAATTGCATTAAGATTATAACCGTTGTATCTTAGATATGATTAAAGATATCTTACAGGAAGAATTCTCCAATTGTTTTTAGCTATATTCTACTCTACTTTGAACAATAAGGATGAAATGAAATGATGATCCCTCTTGCTGTTCTGACTTCCTGACCAAGTTGTCCTACTGCTCCCTCTTTTTAAAACTTATTCACCGTTCTCTTGACGGTTCTTCAAAGGACTTTGAAGATAGAATCCAGTGTTAGTACCATCACTGAAGGACTGGATGACATTTTTCTTCTCACCATTTGTCATTTAGAGAAGATATAGTCGGGCTGACACAAAACAATTTTAAATTGTTCTCTTTCAAGCTGAATAACTCAAAGGGTTTTTTCAGTGATTCTTACGGCAAATGGCGTCAAGATGGCTAAACGTCTTATCTGGGTAAAAGAAAAAAAACCTGGTATAAAGAACTATACCTGGTATAAAGTAATCTTTACAGTGCCTGACAAATTCAAGCAAAATGATTGCATCTAATTTTTTGGCTGAATGTCGGAAAACCAACTACCAAGGCCAGATGGCAGCCAGATGGAGGCCAGATGGCGGCCAGATGGAGGCCAGATGGCGGCCAGATGGCGGATTCGTTAGGCTTTTTTACGAACATTTTGTCGAATAAAGTTTTTCAGTGACCTGGTTAGATTTTCAGTGATTGATCTGTTTTTTTTTTGTTTACTACTTATCAGCCTTTTGCAGGTTGTTTAAAAACAACACGTAATTGTAAGAATCATTGCAGATAATAATGATTTTACAGACATGTGTACTACTAATTAACTCAAAGCGGGTGGGGGAGAAGAAAAATGGTTTTCACACCTCTTCCAAGGATATTTGCGTGTAAGTAAATATTACGAGCCCGACTGGAATTGGAACTCGGTTCTCCTATTTTCAATTCTGAGCCCTTATCCATTACGCTAGCCGCACACCAAATCTTACAGCACTGGTATTCTCAAGCTGTCACCCATCAAAGTGGCGTATTTGTGCACTTCGACGTAGTGTAATGGTTATCAAGCTTGTCTCTTTAGATAGATATCTCGAAAGCGTTCGACAGTTTGGCATGCTGGCCTTCTAAGCAAGCCCAAGGGCTATGGTGTCGCAAAGCGATATTTGGCTTAATCTAAGCATTCCTAACAAATCGTGTGATGAAGGTCGTGGTAAACGGGATCGCTTCCGGACCTTTTCTTACGAACACGGGATCCTCCCAAGGGCTCTATACTGGAACCTACGCTAGTTCTGATCTTCATCAATGAACTCCCTGATATCATCTCTATTCAACTAGATATTTATGCAAATGACACTACCGTTTACTGTCTGTCTCAGTAGCAGATCCGACACATAGTCTCAAAATGATCCTAAAATAGGAGATGTGTAAAAGACTGAAAGAAAAAAAAAACTACCGGTATGCAACGCCAGACAGTTTGAATAGCACTGATCTATAAGATTTAGTAGGGAACTATATTTTTATGGTCAGTATATGACATAAATATTTATTCATTTCCCATCCTGTCTCAATCGAAAATCCGTCAGATCTGACAAAATGAACCTGGCAGCTGCTCTTGAAAACGACCTCTAATCAGTGGTTATGGGCAAAAAGTGAATTGTAAATTTTAACGCCTCTAAAACAAAAGTGCTTTTATTTAATGATCATAGAGAACGCTTTCCGCCTGCCATCAACAGGCTGACACTAGATTCCAGAAGAGCAACACACTACTCATTATTGGCCTCACATTTTCCAATAACTTGAAGAGGAGCGATTCATCGAATCAATAGCTGCATCTACTGCAAGGAAACTTGAGTCACTGTGCCGTTCCAGAAATCTTTCTCTTCATATTCCATGTTGCACATTTATAAATCTACCATTCGTCCGTGCATTGAATGCTGTTGCCATATCTATCCTGGTGTTCCTGCTGTACATATTGTGATTCTAGACAAAATCCAAAGATGGATCTGTAATGTAATCGATCCTAATCAGGCATCTTGACTTCCGTCACTTTATCACTGACGTAACGTGGCTTTCCACTGTCTTTTCTATAAACATTTTCATGGTAACTGCTCTGACGAGCTTTTACCCTGGTGCCACGACTACATGAATTTAAGCGTACTACTAGATTGGTATCATTCTGAACAAATCCTGAAATGAACGTTGTGTCGAATGGCCTCGTTTCCAGATTTTTTAATATGAATGCAAAGATTATCCTGGGACCTACACTGTTTCTGATATTCATCAATGATCTCCCCAATGTTATCAGCTCCCAACTAGGTATTTATGCAGATGGCACTACCATTTACTCCAGTCGCAAGTCCGACAGATCTGACACAGTAAACCTGGCACTGCTCTTGAAAACGACCTCCAACTATAGGTTAACTGGGGCAAGAAATGGCTTGTAAATTTTAAAACGCCCCCAAAACAAAACTTCTTTCATTTAATAACTAAAATGAACTAAAGTGGAGCGTCTACATCGAGGCAAATGCTTCGTCTACTGCAAAGAAAGTTGGTTCACTGTGTCGCACCAGATTTTTTTTCTCGTTAGACTCATCTTGCACATTTATAAATCTACCATTCATCCGCGCATGACTGTTGCCATATCTGGTCTGGTGCTCCTACTGTACATCAAGAGATTCTTGACAAAATCCAACGAAGGGTTTGCAATGTAATTAATCCTGATCAGGCATCTTGACTTTCTCACCGACGTGACGTAGCTTCCCTCTGTCTTTTCTACAATTATTTTCATGGTAACTGCCCGGATAAGCTTTTTTCACTGGTGACCCGACTACATTAATTTAAATGTGCTACTAGATTGGCAACTAGGTCCTAAAGTTTTACTGCTGAATTAGCTTGATACAAGCACCACTTTTACTGTAACGGTTTCTTTTCTCAAACTCCCCTGTGAAACTCCCTTCCAACTTATTGCTTCCCTGATAACTACATTCTTCATGAATTTAAACGCAATGACAATCGTCACCTTCTGCCTTCTTAAACCTTCTTCCTTTTTCCGTTCTATCCTCAGTCATCACTATTCACAGTCTTCTCATTCACTTTCATTTTCACTCTCTGTAACCGCCTCAGTTCTAGTGGCATTGCCGCCTTGCTTAGGGTGAAATGATAAAAAGAAGAAAAAAAAGGATCAATTACAATGGAGTAATCAGATGGATCCTCACTGGATGCCCAGTATTTTCGTTTTTGTTCAGGAGGCACGGTGGAGTAATGGATAGCGGTTTGGATTGAGGAATCGGAGAGCCGAGTTCGAATTCCAGTCGAACCAATTACATTCACTTACGTGCTAACACCCTTGGGAAAGGTGTGAATCCTCTTCTTCTCCCTCCAGGTATGGGTAAATAGCAGGACAGACTAGGTTCTATAGCCTTGAATGGCAACTGGTCTAGGAGAAGGAAAACTCTGAATTCAAACCTGCTCTTAGAGGAGGGTGAATGGAGTCTGAGCCTTGGTTGGTAATCCATTTAGTGTTGGTGTCACGATAAAAACACCCTTGATAGCCCTAGCGAAGCATCAAGAATTCAGCTATTTGACAAGATTATGAACTACACCAATCAAAGTATTGGTGAGTTCAATCTCGGCTGTGGGTGCAAGATGATGCTTTTTGCTTCCAAAATAAAAGACATTTAAACTAACGGTAATGAATCTTCTGAATTGTTGGTAGAAATTATTGTTCATGATAGAACAAATAGAAATTAGTATTGTCCATTCAGTCACCATCAACTGACTATTCATTTTCGCTAGCTACGAACAAGAGCTTTGTGCTCGACAGTCTTAAAAGTTTGCATAATCGGGGGCAACTCCTTTCACAGCAGCGATGACACCATTGCCGAAACGCATTACCTATCGCCTGTGTTGAAATCCACTGTTTGATTTCGTTATTGTAAATGGTGTATAATTATGTCGGATATACCGTTTATCAAGAGAGCTGATCCTATATATCACACACCAGTGATCTATAAGGGCCAATGCAAACCTCGGTACTTGTTGAAGGCAAAAATAGGATTCTCAAAACCAAATGAAAAAAAAGCGTCTAAAATTAATGGATGCTCTAATCATAAACACCTAACAAAACACACACTCCACCCCGACAAAAAAAAAAAAAAAAAAAAAAACAGCTCTTAAAATCAAAAACAGACTGATCGTGTTCTATAATTCTACCTTTCACCAACATAGAAACCATTCACAAGAGCGTAACAAAAATTCTTGAAAATGCCTAATAGATCAGCCAAAAATGCTTGGAATGAGCAACCATTTAGACAATTCCTACACTCACTTTAGCCCAAAGAAGATAATCTCTTTTCGCAAACATGAACAACAACAACAACAATAATAATAATCGCTTCATAGCCAATACTCGGCCCGTACCAAAAAAGCTAACGTAGACAAAACCCGTACCCATCAATGGCTATGTAGTGCAGGGTTGAAAGCTGAAACTGAAGGTTTTATCCTTCTGCACAGGAGCAATGCTTGTTAACTAGGAATTATCACGCACATATACTAAAATAATGTTCGCCGAAAATGCAGATTCTGTGATAAATATCCAGAAACAATTGATCATCTTGTATCAGGTTGCACGATATTGGCACCCACTGAATATAAAACCCGACATGACAGAATGGGCCAATATCTGCACTGGAAAATCTGCAACTTCTACGGGAAAGAAACTGAAAGAAACTGGTATGAACACCACCCAGACCCGGTTACGGAGATAGGACCTGTTACAATTCTATGGGACTACACAATAGACACTGACAGAACAATCAAATCCAACCGCGCAGATATTGTTATTAAAGACCACAAACAAAAAAGTGCCTCCTTATTGATATGGCAGTCCCTGAAGACTGCAATGTATCTTTGAAGATCTTCAAAAAGCTGTCAAAATACAAGGAACTTGAAATCGAAATCTCAAAAATGTGGCACATGGGAACATCAACAATCCCTGTTGTAGTTGGAGCCCGCGGATTGGTTGGAAAAGATTCCAGTAGACTAATCGAAGGGATTGCTGGAAGTCCATGTCTCAAAGAGGTACAAAATATTGTTCTCACAAGTCCAGTCCACACTTTATGAAGGGCTTTATCTATGTAATTTTTTTTTTTTTATCAGTGGAAAGTGTCATGATGCCATTTATAACCTTAGGTCCCTGGGCGGGACCCGAAAAGAAATGTGTAAATGCCAGAAAGCAAAGGAAATAATAATAATAATAATAATAATAATAATAATAAAAACAAAAGTACATTGTCAGCCATTTTTAAATGAAACATGTATCAGTAAGAGATTGCTACCCAAATACACAACTACAGCGTTCCCTAAAATTAACCAGGAAGTTTCTTACCGTTTATTTATTTTTCGGAATTTTTGTTACACTTATTTGAAACAAAAGAAAAGGATACAAATTTCGTAGCTAAAAACAGAACAAAAACACAAATGTTATATGTGGCGTCCAAAATTAATTGGTTTCATCGTTACTATGAAATGAGTTGCTCCCGATTATGCAGACTTTTAAGATCATCAAACACAAAGCTCTTGTTCGGAGCTGGCGAAAATGAAATATTTTATGGTGACTGAATGGACAATACTAATTTCTATTTGTTCTATCATGAGCAATAATTTCGGCCAACAATTCAGAAGTTATATTTTTCATCACATTTCATCTAAAGTCTCCGTTTTCTTTTGTTGTTTTTTGTATAACAACCTGGATCTACATGTATATATAGTCGTTCTTGTAGTGACAGAGAACGTGAAACTCAAATAACGACTTGGAATATCCTTTGATAGGAATTAATATAGTGAAATGTATTTTTTTTTTTTTTGCCCATACGATGTAATCTAGGTTGAGCACTTTTCTTTACTAAGTAGGTGTTTGCCTTCAGGTCATTTTTTTCTTTTTTCTTTCCTTAAAGTGTCTTATATATATATATATATAATGAAATAGATTATGTCCGATAATTATTTAATATAATTTCTGTTTATACGTTATACAATCACACCGCGATATAAAATTAATACCGTTTAATTTAAAGAAAAAGACATTTACTTAAATAAATTCTACCTATCAAAATAACAAATAACATATGTATGTATATATATATATATATATATATATATATATATATATATATATATGGACATTCGTCGTTTATTGAGGAATGGGGGTCAAGTAACTCAGTTCCTAGGAACCGACAGCCAGACACCTGCACATATGATTCTACTTGTGAAAGCTTTTTGTAGAACCATCTACACTTTTGAAGGGCCGAATAGAGAGAGCTGGTGCACTACGTACCACAAGATCCCCTATTGATCTTCCGCAGGTTTTGAATTCAGAGTTGTCCTTCTAGACCAGATGCCATTATAGAATATAGAATCCAGTCTGTCCTGCTCTTTACCCATAGCCGGAGGTTGAAGAAGAGCATTAATAAATTTCCCAAGAGTATTATCACGTAAGTGAATGTAATGGATTCCACTGAAATGCGAACTCTGCCCTCTCTCCGATTCCTCAACATATATATATATATATATATATATATATATATATATATATATATATATATATATGTGTGTGTGTGTGTGTGTGTGTGTGTGTGTGTGTGTGTGTGTGTGTGTGTGTGTGTGTGTGTGTGTGTGTGCGTTTATTCGAAAATTATAACATAAATATGTTATAAAACCACGACAAAAATATCCATTTGTTTCAACACTTCTGGTGTCTTATCAAGTGATGGTATTGAAAATATATATATGCACACACACACACACACACACACACACACACACGCATATATATATATATATATATATATATATATATATATATATATATATATATATAGCTTTATATATATATATATGTCCTCAATTTTGCGTTTAAGTATCAAAGAAATACGCTGTTAGTAATTGATCTATATTTACATTAGTTTTATCCCTGATATTGAGCTCTTTAACCCATTAATATAGCCTACCTTAAAATTATATTTTTATCACAAATATATATATATGTGGGTGTATGGGTGTGTGGGTGTGTATGTATGTGTATATGTTATAGTTTTTTCATTCTTGAACGCAATCTTCAGGCCATGTGTGTTCTGTTTTCCCTCGACTATTCATATATGCTGGTCTGTGGTCTATTATGGATTAGCAAGGCACAGTGGAGTAGTTGATAGCGGCTCGGATTGTGGAATCGGAGAGCCGAGTTCGAATTCCAGTCGAATCCATTAATTCACGTTGGGAATTAATTACACTTGGGAAATGTATGTATCCTCTTCTTCTCCCCCTCGAACTATGGGTACATAGCAAGACAGACCGGGTTCTATAACCTTGGATAACAACTAGTCTACCGCAGAATGAAATGGCAACCTACTGCGGGAAAAAAATGTCTCCTCAGCCATGTATCTTTCGATACATAATTGCCTAAGCGTGTATCACGCATGGCACATAACTGGCTGAAGGTTTATTGTATTGTCAGATTTTATTGGCAGTTATTGGGTAGGCGGTAACGTTTAGGTTTCAAATTATTCTAGAGTCTATTGAGTGTAAATTATTGCGGCTTATAATATTCTTGTCGATAGAAATATTAATCTTCTTAACATTCTCTTTCTTCATTTAGGCGTTTTCTACATTAAGCTAAGCTCATTAAATATTTTTTTTCAAAAATATTCTTCCTGTGGTTTTGTTTTGACGCGGGAGCTGAGAGTTTCAAACTATATCCAGTATCTCAAGTTTGAAACCAAATATTCAAACACCGCGTTGAATTTCAAAGCAGGTGTTGTGGAGATGAACACACCTCACCATAAAATGACTTGGATTCGTCCAAATAACATATACACTAACGCCAAGAATCCGGGAGTGAGCCTTATATCTTTACTACAGAATTCGGTAAGTCGACGTCGACTCCAAGCGACATTATATTTTTTGATTGCGTTATTTTCATTCAATGGAATGTAGATATAACAGTAGGAATTCGTCAAATGAGAGATTGGTACCCTTTTCCAACGTCGTACCCATGTGTCTGTGTGTAGAGTTTTATGATGTATTGAACGATCCTTGTGTAAATATCAATTTGAGATTAATCTTAGACGCGGTGATAAAAGTTATTTGCTACCCCGTCGTCATCGTACAACAGAAGATTAGAGAAAGTTGGTAATTTAATTCCAGGACAAGCACCCCCAGGGGTGATGTAAATGTCCTTCTGCTTATCTACTTTGCGTATTTATGTTGGACAGGTGAAGATAGAATAAACCTTCTACCTGTTTCTGCATCTCCCTTTAACGCTTTGATTTTGCACATTCATTCTGTCTCTATCACAAGTAGAATCTATCTATCTATCTATCTATCTATCTATCTATCTATCTATCTATCCTCCTTAATGTTAATATCTATTTGTCTGTCTATATGTCCTCCTTAATATTATCTATCTATCTATCCTCCTTAATTTTAATATCTATCTGTTTATCTATATGTCCTTCTTAATATTAATATCTATATATCTTTATATTTATATTTATATATAAGTTTTGGATAAGACTTGTTGTTTATGTCCATCGTCTTTGTCAAATTGAACTGAATTGTATTTTAATGAATATTGTCTTGAAAAAGGTTTATTAAACCGAAACGTCAGACGTCGACATTTCATTCATTTTAAACAACATAACTGCATTTAAGGATTTTTGTTTGTTTTTTCCAAATTTTTCTTCATATCTATCTATCCATCTATCTAACTGTCTGTCTCATTCTGTTTGTATCTATCAATATCGATATCTATCTATGTATCCTCCTTAATGTTCATATCTATCTATCTATCTATCTATCTATCTATCTATCTATCTATCTATCTATCCTCCTTAATATTAATACCTATCTATGTATATATCTGTCCTCCTTAATGATAATATCAATCTATATATATACCCTCCTTAATGTTAATATCTATCTATCTATCTATCTATCTATCTATTATTAGTAGCAGTAGGCATCCGTTTATCCCGCGAGATAATTGTAGTGTACTATGGGGGGAGTTAAAATCAGAATTTTCATTCACCTAGATAGGCTGCCTTATAGCGCTGACGAATTATAGATAGTGGAAGCTACCGCACCCGACTTTAACAAATTTCAGACATATATAATGTAGATATATAAACATTACATATTTTAGAATGTTCCCAAAAATAACTTTTCATTTTAAATATATATGTAACGTCAAATAAACAAAAACCTTAGAAATTTATCTATCTATCTATCTATCTATCTATCTATCTATCTATCTATGTGTGTGTGTGTGTATTATTATGTATATGTCATATAGATTATAGAAAATGAATGACTGGTTGATCTGCGTTTTACGGCTTATAATTCTTTTGTAGGTTATTTAAAGCCAGAAATATTTTTAGTTTTGTTGAAACTTGACTAATGCATGGAATAATAATGCAACACAAAATGTACTTAGAACAAAATGTATTGAAACAAGAAAGTGTACACAATATTTATATATAGTCTTTTGTATATTCCTGGGAAGACCGTTCCTGGAGAATGTGTTGACTTAGTCGCAGTCGGGCAGAGTCTCTGGATTGAATCTCTTGATTCCTCCCCCTCGTCTTCCCGGTACCAACCATATTTATATGGTCGGTACTCCACTATGCAAATTAGGTGGATCCTACCACAACAAGTTTGTAAGGATATTTGGGGATAATAATGATTTACTGATAAGTCTTAACATGAAACCCTTAGCTGGAGGGAGAAATGGCGGATTCATAGCTTTCCTTTGGGTATTAACGCATAAATTAATATAACGAACCCGACAGGAATTAGAACTTCCCGTTCCCCAATTTTAAAACGTTATCCATTACATCACCCGCATATCCAAGCTCACATCGTCTGGTATTCTCAAGCGTTCATCTCTCTAGGTACTGACCAGGGTCGACGTTCATCGTTCGAGAACCGATGTTTAAGGTGATTTAGCCGTAAGGCATTTTAGAAATTAAATTAATAATTATAATAAGATTTCTGAAGCGATATAGTTAAATAAGAATGACGAGTTGCGACGCTAAATGCGAGTCATGTTTCTGACCGCCTGATTTTAAAATAAAATTATAGAGAGCAAGGATACAGTAGAACTCACCAATTATTCCTGAAATAAGACTTCCTCGAATTTGGACTCATTTTCAAATCCGAACTTTTGTATTGATATAAATATTAATCATTTCCTCGAATCAGAACAGTTCTCACAATACCGATATATAAAAGTGCTCCCCCAAATCCGAACATAATCTAGACTTCTTCAAATTAGACATCCTCGAATTTGTACTTATCTTCAAATCCGAACTTTTGCATTGATATAAATATGAATCCTTTCCTCGAATCAGTACGGTTCCCACAATACCAATATAAAATTACACTCCCCCAAATCCGAACATAATCTAGACTTCCACAAATTATATTTTCTTGAATTTGGACTGATCTTCAAATACGAACTTTTTTTATTGGTGTAAACATGAAGCCATTTCTTCTTCGAATACGATATACAATAGCACTCCCCAAAATTCAAATATAGCATATTCTACACTTCCTCGAATTTGGACTCATCTTCAAATCGGAACTTTTTGTATTGACATAAATATGAAGCTTCTTCTTCCTCGAATCATACAATTACACTCAATACCAAACATCTCAGATGTTCGCTTTAGGGGAATTGTTCTGTATATCTTTATTTTTGTCTTCCTTTACAGATTGTAATCTTTTTTGAATATCTCTTGTCCATAATAATGTCACTAATTTCAAGAAGGAAAAGAATTGCCTCTGTTTTAATGACCACTGAAATATCCAGACACGCGCATTTCAAAATGAAATTATTAAAAAGTAACTGTACAATCGTAAAGTGAAATAATGTCATACTCTCGTCAAAAGCGCCATAGAAACAACTGTCATGAACGCAATGAAGAACGCGGCGAAATTCAGGAAGACAAAATTCAAGTTGACAAATGATAAATTTATAAACTTTCATAAATTTTTATACATTTCATAAAGCGTCTTAGCTTTTCAAAATTTACAATATTTTTTTTTTTAGTCTAAACATTTTCATTACTATTGGTTGTCAGTTTTTGTATATTTATCTACTTTAAATAAAAACGAATCAACGTTACAAATTACCTTTTGTATCTTACACTCTAAAACTTAACAGAAATTTTAAGCTTCCCACAGCAGCCTTTTCTTCCTCGAATCGGAACAGTACCCTCAATACTGAACATCTTGGATGTTCGGTTTAGTTTGGTTTGTTTCGTTTTACGGCATATCAACTTCATTGGGTTATTTAATGCTGAGAAGATTTTTTATTGCTGATAATATTTTTTTTCAAAAAATGTATCTCTGGTAATAATTTTTCTTCAAAAATTTATTGCTGGTAATAATTTTTTACGAAGTACTTTTCGTATTAAAAGCTATTTTCACACTTTGATAGTGTTTTGACCCCAGTTTGGGTGTTAACTATTTACCCATAGCTGAAACTCTGGCATACTGATATACAATAGCACTCCCCAAATCCGAACATCGCATAATCTGAGCTTTTGTTTTGACATACATATAAAGCCTTTTCTTCCTCAAATCAGAACAGTACCCTCAATCTCGAACATCTTGAATGTTCGGTTTAGTGAAGTCGTACTGTATGTCCTTATTTTTGTCTTACTTTACAGATTATAATTGTTTTTTGAATAAGATATTTCATTTATTTTTTAAACATTTCATGATGTGTCTTAGTTTTTCGCAAATTAAAATATTTGTTTAACACAAACTTTTTTCACGACTATTGGTTGTCAATTATTTTTTGTACATTTATGTATTCATTCTACACTTTAAATAAAAATGAATCAACGTTAGAAACTACCTTTTGTATCCTAAACTCTAAAACTTTTAAGATTGCCACGGTACCTTTTTCATACACGAATCCAAAAAGTATCCCCAATACCAAACACCTCAGATGTTTGGTTTTGAAGATTTGTACTGTATTCAGATGAATTATAATGGAATTATATTTCTGATGAGACCAGTTCATCGTCGAAACATGCCAGAATATAATTTTTTAAATATATTTACTAATCCATCAAATTCTCATCAAAATTAATCTCATATATATATATATATATATATATATATATATATATATATATATATATATATATTGTATATATGGGAAACAGTCCTTCTTTTTATGCATGGTTCATTTAATGTGACGGGCAAAGAAAATTTTATAAAGTTTTTATTCAGTTTTCATAGTTTTCTTTAAAGATTTTCTCTTAGAAGGACGACGAGTTTGGCGAAACTGTCATTGTCTTGCACGTTTCCAACTTACAATACGAACATTTTTGCACCCTTCGAGAGAATGAACCCTGTAGGTCTTAGAGAGAATCATCCCTTTTCGAATCTCGATACAGAATTACAAACAGAGTACGTTATCAAATAACATAAACCACATCACTTCAAGACTTTCAACAACAGCGAAAACTAATGTGGATATCACATCAGATAAAATACTGATATAATCAAGCTGATGACGCCCAACAAGATTTCAATAAAACGTTTATGAAGAAAACCCGCATCCATATTGAAAAGTGTAAGCATTTGAGAAAAAAAAACATTTCTTAAATTACAACCGAAAGTAGATCTGGCAGCGGAGTCAATAAATGCGAAATCTTTCCCTATGAGGAAACGGCTAATATTAGTATTACTATTAAAGATGTAGTGAACAGATGATACACTTTGATCGCAGACCGTTAGCCAGGAAGTGAAGAAAAGCGTAACACAGTTTACTGGGTCAATGAATGCTGAATGCTGAATGTTTCCTCGTAAGGAAAGGGTTAATATTACCATTACCATTTGAGATGAGCAGAACGGATACTACACTTTGATCGCAGGCCGATGACCAGGCAATAAAGAAATGCACATGCCGCTTGGGCAATGAATGTCGAATATTTCCTTATAAAGAAACGGTGAATATGACAATTATCATTAGTCAAGGTGACAGAGAAAACTGAATAAAAAAAAAACTTAGATAATTTTCCTTGTCGATCACGTTCAATGAAACCCACTCACATAAGCACAACTACATATATATATATATATATATATATATATATATGTGTGTGTGTGTGTAATTGCCCATCCCACAAATTGTTTAATATCTAAAAAAACACTAAAATAATTGAGTTTCTTTTTTCCATGTTTTCAGATATGACGTTTAGCAATATTGACACCATTTGTCGTAAGAATCACCCTAAAAACCCTTTGGATTATTCAACGAAAAAGGGAACATGAATTGCAGCGATATATCTTCAATCTTTTCTAAGCTACAACGGTTCAAATCTTAATCTAACAATTAGACAATTTTTGTTGTTACACTCTTCATATATATATATATATATATATATATATATATATATATATATATACATACACACACTTTTATATATATATATATATATATATTATATATATATATACACTTTCATATATATATATATATACACACTTTTAACTGAATCTTAATCTAATAATTAGACAATTTTTGCTGTTACACTCTTCATATATATATATATATATATATATATATACACACTTTTATATATACATATATATATTTATATATATATACACTTTCATATATATATATATATATATATATACACACAACTGAATCTTAATCTAATAATTAGACAATTTTTGCTGTTACACTCTTCATATATATATATATATATATATATATATATATATATATATATATATATAATATATATATATATATATATATATATATATATATATATATATACTTTCATATATATATATATATATATATATATATATATATATATATATAAAAATATGTTGTAGTGGTTCCAACGAGAGAAAAGTATGTATATTAAAAAGAAGAGAAGAGAGGTGCCGCAAACGTTTTTGTTTAATAATGTGGATTTATTTAGACATAATGTCTCATATCGAGAATATTTAACATTGAACATAAGGAAAAATTAATTATTTTTTAATAATATGTGGAAATCTCCTTTTTTACCTGAAGACGGTCGAGACCAGAAACACGTGTCGTAAAATTATGTAAAACAAAGCATAATATTTTTTCTAAATAAATCCACATTACAACCAAAAACGTTTGCGGCACCTCTCTTCTCTTCTTTTTACACACACACACACATATATATATATATATATATATATATATATATATATATATATATATATATATATATACACTTTTAACTGAATGTGTAGATTTTTTGTGGCAGTATCTAAAAGCAAAAATAAAATCCTTTTTGACAATAGCTAAAACAATAGTCGAAAGCACTTGGACAAATAAAGCATTCAGAAAATTTACATATAATTTAGGAACAGAAAACATCCCACTATGTCTTCTCAACTTTACTTGCGTTCTTGTCACTTAAAAAATGAGCGTGTTCTAATGTTGAAAAAGCTGGTCTTATAGACTAATACTAGTATGTTCGAAGAAAATTTGCTTAAAAAATGTCTGGAATCACCTCGATCATGCGAAGAAACTTATAAATTTTAAAATTATTTGAATAAAGAAAGGAATTCTATCTTCGCTTGAATTCAGAGATTTGAAGCATTTTCATTCTTAGTTTATATTAATCGAATTTTTATCAATTTATGAATTTGATAACAATATTACAAGTCGAATAGATAAAGCCGTATTTAAAAATCAGATTATGACACTCTTCATTTCGCATAATTACGATATACACGCAATATTTCCAAGAATGGAAGAGACTGAATACAAAATTTGATTTTAAATTAACTCCTGAATTGTAAAGTCATATTTCGAGGTATTCATTTACTTTGAATTATCAATTGCATCGTGTTTATATTGTTAATTGTATCGTGTTTTATAGTGGTTGTATCATTATTATTATTATTATTTTTATTTTCTTTGATTTCTGGCGTTTACACATTTCTTTCCGGTTAGAAATGGCGTCATGACACTTTCCACTGACAAAAAAAAAAAAAAAAAAAAAAATTAAATTACATAGATAAAGCCCTTCGTAAGGTGTGGGCTGTACTTGTCAAAACAATTTTTTGTATCTCCTTGAGGCATGGAGTTCCAGGAATCCCTTCAATTAGTCTACTGCAATCTTTTCCAACCAGTCCTAGGGCTCCAACTACAACAGGGATTGTTGATGTTCCCATATGTCACATTTTCGAGATTTCTATTTCAAGGTCCTTGTACTTTGACAACTTTTTGAATATCTTCAAAGATACATTGCAGTCAGCAGGGACTGCCATATCAATAAGGAGACACCGTTTTTGTTTGTGGTCTTTAATAACAATATCTGGGCGGTTGACTTTGATTGTTCTGTCAGTGTGTATTGTGTAATCCCATAGAATTGTAACAGGTCCTATCTCCGTAACCGGGTCTGGGTGGTATTATTATTATTAATATTATTATTTGGTTTGATTTCTGCTATATATATATTTTCTTCCAAATCCCAGCCAGGGACGTAAGGTCAGGAAGGTCTTCATGACATCGCTTTTGAAGAAAAAAAAAGAAAAAAAAAAAAGAACGGTTGAGTCTATAGTACTTTGTTTTGCTCAATGGTAAAGCTTGCCAGTGTGTTCGTTCAGCGTTGCAATTTTCGTACGCGTCCTTGGAGTAACGTCCATCGCAGACAACGCCCGTAGGACAAATAATCGACAGTCGAGACAATAGTGTCTGGGCGTGATAAAAATCTGGTGCAATCGCGGATGATGCAATATTTTCAAGCCCAAATCAATTTCATCATACAACCCGAAAATTGATTCATACTACTCACACCACTGCAAATGATATCTGAGGAAAAATATAGAAATCGATTACACCCTGTCACTCAAGTGGATCTAAAACAGACCGTATGATGAAAGAAAGTAAACTAAAGCTGCTGTTTCAAATAAGTTTGATATATATATATATATATATATATATATATATATATATATATATATATATACCTGGACCAGTAGTCCCTGACGACCGGATTAAGTGAAACCGTGGTAGGTTGTCTGGCTTTTTAGGTTTAGCTAATATATATATATATATATATATATATATATATATATATATATATATATATATATATATATATATTCCCCCGACATGAGACAACATGAAAATCCCTCTCCTTCGATATTCCGAGTAATAATAAATTATAAAAGGCATGGACGCGCAACTCCCTGGAATATTTGATATGCACAATGGTTTAAATTCATACAAAATTCTGTCTTCTGCGTTTAGCAGGAAAGTATACTAGTGTCGACTACTAGGCAGACTATTTTTTAAATCTACCTACGTATTTCATGTATAGGATAATTATCAAAATCTATTGATAAATCAACTGAAGTACAACTATGACTTCTGATGGTGTGGGCTGTGGTAAAATTATGTTAAAACTTCTAAAATAAAATCTGGTTTTTGGCCATTTGGTTAGTCTTTGTTAACGGTCTTGGAGCGAGAACTTCACTGCGCATCTTTGTCTTACATATATTGCAGAATGCACTTTCAAACAAAGAAATCTAGCGTTTACAGAAAAAAAAAGACCTTTAATGTCCGCAGTATGACTGGGTAAGATATGCCCCTGATAAAGGCCGGCTAGCAAGCCAGGAAATCGTTATTCTACAAAATTTGGGGGACGAACTGAATATCTTCTTTTGCTTCCAATCAGACATTTCATTTGATTTGCCAGGCGTGACTGGGCGTGTCTCTCATTCTGAGCGAATGAGCCTTTTCTTTTTCGTCAACGAATCTGCAGAGAGGACTGCAAATCAATCCTGAACACATGTAAGGAATAAAAAAAAAAGCTGTTGGCTTTTTTTTTTTTTACAAATTAACGCAACATTTGCAATGGAAATCCTTTCAAGTAACTGAAAGGCAATTCTCTAAATGAATCAGCGAATTAAAAGTATTGGTAAAGAAGAGAAAAAAAAAGAAAAGAAGAAACAGACGAAAAAGGAGTCCGTATCAAACAGAGAAAGGTCTTGTTATTTTTTCATGGCTGTCGCCAACGTAATTTCCTGGAATTGGAGTATCGATATCTCTCAAGGCTTTGTTCTTCATTTGATATTCTTTTCTCAGAGTTTCAAATGATTCCTCTTCTGTAACCTACAGCGTATCCTCAGCACATAGGTGTCGGATTGACTTTAAAAGAAACTTGGGCTTCTCATGGAGATTTAGAAAAGATAGCGCATGTGATAGATTACCTACAACAAAATACACTCTCAAGATCTACGGAGGCAGGCAACTGGATATGTACATAGAAGAATTGATTTATATTCGTACACACCGATCGCAGTATCTATCTATCTATCTATCTATCTATCTATCTATCTATCCCAGGCTGCTCATTATCTATCTATTATAGCTGCTCAAGTAGACGCGTATCCTCGAATACGAGTGGCCAGCTATATATATATATATATATATATATATGTGTGTGTGTGTGTGTGTGTGTGTGTGTAAATATATATTACGCACCAAACAAACACTTGGCTCGCTGGTGCTAAATAAAAATGGTAAAGGGTGCTTATACTTAAATTTAAAAAGATATAGTTGAAATATTTAGGGCGCGCGATGAGGAAAGAGTGATTCAAGAATTCGACACTCCCAGGATATACTGAAGTCAAGAGGAGCAGAGTCTAACAGCGAGTAACCAACTTAAGATTGGTTGTCTGATTTGTTTTTTCGGCTTATCAACCTTTTTGCCGATTATTTAAAGCGGGAAGATGTTTTAGATTTTAAGAATTCGGGTGAGATAATAGTGATTTACTGATACAAAGCCTACTAATTAACCCATATCTGGGGGAGAATAAATGATTCAAGTATATATATATATATATATATTAAGAAATGGACAAGGTCCGACAATTTATTTATTAAAGACATTTTTATGTTTAACGTTGTTATTTATAGATACAAGTATTTAAGCAAATGCTCTATACGGAACCGTCATTTACGCTGACGTGCCTAACCTCTGGGCCACAAAGAACCTTTCGGTAGACAAGGTCGAATTTAAAATAATATAAATAACAACGTTAAACATAAAAATGTCTTTAATAAATAAATTGTCGGACCTTGTCCATTTCTTAATATATGACGTCATTTGTTTACATTTGATACGCCAGAGCAGTTATGAATGTACGAGATTCATGAAAGATTGAAGTTTATAAGCAGTAAATTCGACCTTGTCTACCGAAAGGTTCTTTGTGGCCCAGAGGTTAGGCACGTCAGCGTAAATGACGGTTCCGTATAGGATGCAGGTTCGAATCCTGTCAAAGAACGAATATTTTCTATGAAAATTTCTCGGACATTCAGGCCGGTAAATGTTATTTAATACTGTTTATCATTAACAGAGCATTTGCTTAAATACTTGTATCTATAAATAACAACGTTAAACATAAAAATGTCTTTAATAAATATATATATATATATATATATATATATATATAAACAAATGTGACTGTAATTGGAATTTAGAACATCCAAACTCCCAGCACCTGTTAATCTTAAGCGGTCACGTACTGATCAGGCTTGGCGTTGCTTGCGAGAATCGGTAATTCAACGTAATATGGCCGAAAGGCAACCTCCGTAAGAAATGAGAATTATTTGTAAATGGATGGTAGTACAAAGAGGATGATGAAAAGATAAATCTTATATAGAGTAGCAAAGGATGGGAAGTTGTGGAGAGCCATTACCACTCGCTTTCTGAAATAATATTAGAAGAAGAAGAAGAAATACATTTTTAAAGACGAACTTAGCAATAGACCTCCTTCGAAGGCCGGTAACTGTTTGCAATTCCATATTCTCTTTTGTAGCTAACTCTTCAAATGCTGGAAAATAATGACTAGCCTGATCAGGTGAGGAAACCGTAGCTATCAAATATTACTCTAAATGACCCCAAGCTTCTTTTTTCAATCTCCTTCTGTCACTTCAGAGAAAAGGCGTAAGCGCATTCTGCCTGAAGTCTATTTCTGTCAGCGTACTCTAGCGAACAAAAGCCCGTAAAAGTTATCATAGCGCTGGCCTTTTTGAAACGATGAGAATGAAAATTAGCAAAGCACAGCAAATTACAAAAAAAATTCTCTCTACATTCCAATCATCACAAATCATCGTTTCGTGAAGTCAACGCCGTCCATTTTCTGATTTCCTTACATCCGAAATCAAGCTTCAGAAAGTAGTAGTTGTTTCAGGAATGGAGATATTGGGAAAAAAAATCAGTGCGCAGATTTATATTTTTGTAAGATTCGATAGCGGCACTTTTGATGATTTCCTTTCTAAGTAAGTAACTTTCTCTATTGATAAGTGCGCCATTATTTTTTATCAAAGTTGTGTTTGAATTTGTTTCTGTGCATAACTACCGCATTTGCTAAATTGTTGTGTGTAAGATTTCTTATTTATTCATAGATACTTTATAAGGTTTCTACAAGTTTCTCCAATATATTGTGAGTAATATATATATATATATATATATATATATATTTTCATTCGCCTTTGAAAGTGAAGTCTGAATATCCATAGAAAAATAAAATTCTCTGGGAAATAAATTATAACATTGGAACCTTAAAGTGATCTGTTTTTCTTTTTAAATTATATATATATATATATATATATATATATATATATATATATATATATATATGTGTATGTATTTGTGTGTGAGAACACACACACACACATATATATATATATATATATATATATATATATATGTATGTATATATATATATATATATATATGAAGAAATATAGTTTTAAGGTGTGCCATATTGATGGGATAAAGATCTCAATATCAGAGATAGAGCGTATGTAAATATAAATATGAAGTGAACATTGAAATCACCATTCAGAGGCGACAGACTGTTTCATGCTTGACGTAATCGTAAGGCTGCTTTTTGCCTCTGAGTGTTGACTTCAATGTTCACTATATATATATATATATATATATATATATTGGTAAAATGAGAACCGATGGAATATGATTCCACTGTATGTAACAATGGTTGAGCAAAATTGAACTGTTCATGCGTCGCTAAAATGAATGAAGCAATCACTGAAGAAGGTTCGTTTGCATTGTGAGTCTGTCAAATATGTTTTCATATTTGTTTGTTGCGGTTAAGAGTAAAAGAGTCAATGAGCAAATCATTCGAGATCCTCAGCACATGAAGAACTTTCCCTTATTATTTATAAATAGGTATCTTCACTAATTTTCTATATTTTGTTTTAAAATGAATTTTGATAAATTTAAAAGCTGTCTTCAAGCTCTCATATTAGCTTAAATTGAACGCTAAAGGATTAAATTTACTATTTCCAGCAGGCAAAATAATCTGGTATATTTCAAACAGAAATTATATTGATTGGAATCGATTTTTTAAAGAAATCTTTTCTAAAATAGCTGATTAGCGCCCGTTTTTTAGTCATCTTTCATCGCAATGTAATACTCTGTATTAAAAAAATCTTCCAAAAATAAAACATACTTTTCTTAAACTTTATTTGATAAAATATTAACTGATTTAAAATATAATTGATCCGATTTGAAACAAATATTATTTAAGTTTAAATTAACAGAGAAATGAATTGTTAAAACAAAGAGTAGCGTTTGTTTTTAACCGACAGCAGCCATTCTTACGTAATAAATGAGGGGTGACAAATGCTGATAAGGTGCTGACAGTTTTATTGTTGTTCTACGGAGACTTTATCTGTTGAAACGTAGTTTAAGAAAATGTCGGGTGAATACACTTTTTTTTATATAGAATTTCTAAATAGCTTTCTTTTCTTCTTTTTATATGGCATGTCATTTCAGGACTTAGACGATCTTTGCTCTCTACCTGCATCTTTCCCTTGCAGCTCTCAACAAGTTCCTTCCCTCTGCTTCATCCCCCAGACCACGTTCCCTAATCCACTTGCTTAAGTCCGCTAGGTATGTCACGAGTTGATTTCCCTTGTCTCTCTTTCCCTTTATTCGACTCGTGAATATTTCGCATTATATCAGTACTATTTGAATAGTCAGTAATCTTAAAAAATGTTGGAAATCATTCTCCATAACCTGATTTAAGAAATGTTCATTTTAAATTTACCATAGTTATCTGACTTTTATTTTATTTTATGATAATGTCGTGTATGGCCAACCATACTTTAAAAAATGGGTACGTCACATAATATTTTATGTACATGAAAAAAGTTTTGAATTTTTAAAAAATTTTGTTGCCAAATGATTTCTATTAACCTTTTCCATGTTTCATTAGTAAATATAGTTTTCATTTAATGACAATATCATCTAATTGGATGAAAGTAATGCAAAATTTTTAAAGATTTATATATTATAAATCATTATAATTAAAATGTAATAAAATGAAAACAATTTTTGTAAAAATTTATTATGAATCGAAAAAAAATGTTATAACAAACAGTATCAAATGTTATCCATGAAAGCAATTAAAAGCTTTTCTAAATAAATAATATCATGGTTTTATTGCGTTTTTTATTTTACGACTTGGAGCAGATTTTCAGGGAATGAGTAGTAGTTTGAAAAAACAAAACTTGATGATTTACATTTTCCATGGACTCCTGCTTTTAACTAATAAAAAAAAAAAAACTTTCAGATGAAAGTCAATTTCTCGAAATCATTAAGTGTCTAGGCGTAACATATCTGAAAAAAAAAATATATTTCTATCAAGATTTTCTAAATAATTTAATTCATTTGTAAATAAGTACTGAACGTTTTATTAAAACGACAATTATTTGATTTTTGCAAGAATTTCAAAACAAATGTGTTTTCTACACGAAAAAAAGGCGCTAAAACATTAATCGTAAATATTGCATCGACCGCTAACGCCAAAACATACCAAAATATCGAAAGGATAAAAAAAAAAAAACTAATAAAATTATAAAAAAATAATTTCGTATTTCCCCTTAATAATACCATAAATATTGTGACGATAAAACTTTTTATTACGTTTGGTGACATTTTTCTTCATGCTATGCTGTTTTCTACAGCGAAAAAGTGGAGGTACCTATTTATAAATGATATCACAACGGTGTAGCGATGGTTTGCAATCAAAGCCATTTACAAACGTTTACCTTTAATAATAATAAAAAAGGCATATTTCCGTGTTATCCACTGAAAAGCCGGTATTGACCTGTCATTAGACAGGTGAAAACCGTCTTTTTATTGGTAAGAAATAGCGCCAACTTATGCACGCACCTGACATCATAAATATATAATACTGATATCCGGTTGTTCTAAGTGTGCCCATCCGACGCGCTGGTTGACCGACCACGTGTTTATATATCGGCTGCAGACACTGGCTTCCAGTGATGCGCGAATCTGCATCTGGTCGTTGGGATTATACCTTCCAGCTCGACCTTCTAATACCCCTGGCTTCTTTTATGCCCTAGTTTGACACTGACGGAAAACCGATTTTGATATCTCTTCGGCCGCGTTCGATACACACTGGGGCCATCAATATTAGAACAAATATTCCTTATTGACATAGATTTCGGTACAGATACTCCATTCTTTTCTAGTGTGAATCATCCACAGCAAACATCATCACGCTATATTTGTGACATCATATTTTGCTATCTAACGGAAATATGTTTTTGATATCTACGTTAAATCCATCATTATATTATGATATTCCTTTTCTAATAGAACCAACAAAGTAAAACTGCTCTCGAAAATGATCTGCATATTTAAGGAAGACCTAATAGAATTTATAATTTAAAACAAAACAAGAATCATAACACTCATCGAGTGGTTAGGGGGTTAATGCCTCTTTAAAATTTAGAATTCGCCATTTTATATCATTAACATTTCTAATTTATTTTGGCATGAATGATTCATTGTAATATATATATACACACACACACACACACACACACACACACACACACACACACATATATATATATATATATATATATATATATATATAATAAAAAAAGCTTAAACACTAATATTCCATGGTCATAATTTATTTCATTGGAATCGTAAATACGATCAATTCATCAGACAAACAAATTCCCAAAAATCTTTTTTGAATTTTTAGATCTGATGAATTGGATCATATTATGATTCTAATGGAATAAATTATGACCATGGAATTTAAACTTTAAGCTTTTATCATATCTTACTCTGTCCTGGACATTGAGTTCTACCTGGATTCTATCCTCTTGGAATTTTTTTAAAAAATATACATGTATGTGTATGCACCTATGTATATATATTTTCATATGTGTATATTTACCACTAATATTAACTATATATATATATATATATATATATATATATATATATATATATATATATATATATATATAATATATGGTACAAATGGAGTATAATTCAACTGTCTGTAGAATTTCATTTTTACTTCAAAATATAAATTTTACTTCAAAATATACATGTATGTGTATGCACCTATGTATATATATTTTCATATGTGTATATTTACCACTAATATTAACTATATATATATATATATATATATATATATATATATATATATATATATATATAGGTATGGTACAAATGGAGTATAATTCAACTGTCTGTAGAATTTCATTTTTAAAAAGGGCTCAATACAGAGTAATGCTTGATATTATGTATTATATGAGGCTAAAAGAAAAACATGTTAAAAATCGCTACACGATAGCATCGTGTTTCAGCACTCAAATTGTACCTCCTCAGGCGATAGAAAAATAACTGGTGAGTAAAAAATTATTTTTAAATTTCAATAGCAGATAACAACAAAACAAAATTATAGAGGCTTGTGGATTTACCCTGATTACCAATTAGGTGTCAGACATATGCTAAAAAAGGGGGAATGTGGTTTGAATCCTAGACAAGGTCATGCGTGGCAGACAAGAAATTACTGCGAACCATAAGCGAGTGACAAACATGTATCATAATTAGGAAACAAATGTAATCGATTTTATAAGAAACCACAAGGAGGAGTAGGAAGATAATCAAACATATAGCTAATTGTAGCTTGATAGTTAATAATAAAAATGCTTCTTTTAGAATCCACTATATGCAACTTAAGTATTTAAACATAAAAATAAAAACTGTGTAATATTATTACAAGATGTTGATAATGCCGACTAACCAGTAATACGTAGCTACATTAAACTCAAATAAACAAAATAAAATAATCATTCTTAGAAGGTGCACTGAAATTTACTTACTAATTATGACATAATTATGAAATAATACTCTCAATATGACATAATTATGAAATAGTACTATCATATTGTAAGATCAAAGGTAAGCTATGCCTACAATTTACAGTTAATTCACTTCTTTGGTTTAATAGAGAGTTTTTATCAGCGAATCTAATAATTTCTAATTTCTCATGTAAGCATAAGTAGCGTGGCTCATTTAAGGATTTACACGTTCTAACATTTTTTTAAAACTTTTCTTCATTTAACATATAGGTGATTTATTAACCTCTTTTAATTTCCAAAAATATTTGGAAAGAGATGTTCTATTTGTATAAGTGATATTGGTGAAAGGTAGAATATATTTGTACCACATAGTTTTAAGAGAATGCTATATAAAGTGTTTCAACGATCGGATTTTCTCTTGTACAAACAGAGTTTAGGTAAACAAGGGAGTTGTTCAGACATTTGTTTTGCAGTTGGCAGTCATTAGAGTTTCTGCAATTACATTTGTTAGCATTATCGACATTGGAATTTATATTATTAGTCGGGTTTTTATATCTGTTTAAAATTGTATTGTTATGTTGTTTTATACTTTTTCGAGATTATCGGGGAAGCTATAACTTAGTTTAGTGTGTTTCTGTCAAATATTTTACTGATTAGTTTATTTCTGGAGAAATTCTTATCAATTAAATGGCGTAACTTCTGCCCTCATTTAGTACTAACCATTTGGTTAAATGTGGGTATGTACCAAATGATTTTCTGTTCTTATTCTTTTTTTTCGATCATTATTATCATGGTTTCTGTACTTGATTTCTGTCTACTCGTAATCATTATTTTTAAGGCATTATTATAAACACTACTATACTTATTGAAAACATATTTGTTAGAAGAGTAATTGCTATTGCTATATTCTATAGAGGAAGGTATATGCTTAACTACAGATGGAGGATGGTTAGCATTGGCCTTCATATACGGTTGGAACACACATTCAGAATATCTAACATAATATCCAGAAAATCAACCTTTTTAACATTAGTAGTAATTTTAACTTTAAGATTTAGGCTTTTTATTTCTCTATGTATCTTAACTTTTTAAGCTTAATTTTAGTAGAAATTTTTACTAACATAAGACCATCCTCTCCATATAACCCTATATTATCAGCACTAACTTCCTCATAAGCTATCAGATTATATATAAACAAACCAACCAGGTCAAAAGATTGCAGAATCTAATGATCCCATAGAAATATCAAAGTGATCATCAGAATAGTTCTTCACCTATTGTTCATTTTTGTGAATAAGAAAAGATCTTCTGAAGTTCATTATTATATCCAGTTCATTGTTGGAAACATTGGAATATTCTTTGGAAAACTCCAAAGCTAAGGTGAATAGGTCTTTGGAAATCGATAAGTGAAAATCCACGATATCAAATTGGATGAAAGAAAAGTTCGTCTTATTATTAATCCCTTTGAACCAATTGATGATATCTGAGGAACCAGTCCACTTTAAAAGACCAAGCTGCCCTTTAATCTGATTGTTGACTATATCAAGGATAACTTTGTTAATCCTACCAATTTCAATCCAATTGACAATTAGAAACGTTTATGAAAGTAGATTTGTTTAGAAATCTATTCGATAATGCATTAAATACAAATACACACATTTCATTCTTTCGTTTTCGGATCTGATGAAGCCTTAAATGACGAAATGCATTATCCAATATATTGGTAAACAAATATATTTTTTCTAGGCGGAAATGTTCTACAGATAATTATGTTCGGTGGGGAGCCGATTTAATCCGATTATTAAATCTGTAGTGAAAGGGTCATTCAGATTTTCCCACATATTGTTTCTTGCATAGTGTGCATTCTTATTTCAAATCTGACTGAATTCTATTTCCAAAACACAATAATGCTGCGTCTTATAATCTGATGCTTCTTATATCTTGTATAGAGAATGATACAGAGTAGGGTAGATAGATTCTGTTTAAATTAAATTATTCAGAACTCAAAACCTGGCATCTCTAAAGAATTAATAAATGAATATGCATTTTTTTTAAAGAAAAAGTACTTAGTGGATAGAAAACATAATTTTTTTTTTCTTAATACAATTAGCATAAACAATAAAGTTAAAGAATTTCTCGAAGGTATAATTGATTAACAAATTAGGGATGTTTCCCGCGAGATAAAAAAAAACGTCTATTTAATGAGTTACAAATGATTTGAATTACAAACGAGCACAACAGATTTAAAATTTATTGAACTATTTTGTAATTTCTTTTTTTAAAGCTAGATGTGATTTTATATGTGTGCCATTTGTCGTGTTTCACGCCGTAAACCTCGCTAAAACTGTCAGAGTTTGAAAGAAAATCATTTCGTTCCACATACATTTCGAGTCGTTGTGATGCGTACAGAATTTTTCATAAAATCTAGCAACCTGAAAACTGTTTGCTTGGCCGTGTTAACAAATGCCCCAGTGTGTCTTCGGTTCCGTTTGCAAAACATGAAAAAAATGTTGGTTTACCACTATATCTTTCCAATAAATTATTCAGCGGATGTGTCTATCGTGAAGTGAAATTAACTTTTAATAAACACACACACACACACACACACACACACACACACATATATATATATATATATATATATATATATATATATATAGAGAGAGAGAGAGAGAGAGATAGATAGATAGATAGATAGATAGATAGATAGATAGATAGATATGTATACACACACACAGATATATGTATGTGTATATCTGATGATTACGCGCCAAACTTCTAGGTTAGTTTAATCGCGGTCAACCATCATGGCAACA